GTAGCATATATGGATGCCGTTTTAAACATAAACATTATTCATAGTATATTTCATTTTTACAATTATTTCATGAATTTCATAACGAAAAGCAACTAATTTTTTTTAAATTTTAACTTTAAATTTTGTTTCATTCTCTATGTTACACCACTTGATACGATACAATTGAATATCATTACTGTAATTTATTCACAATTAAGAATTGATTAAATTTTCCTTGAATATTTTCTGTTAAATGTATTGTATTATAATATCCCGAGATGCGTTTCCTGTATATCAGAATTCCTCGCATATTTCTGAAACGTATCTAGCGAGGAACTGAATTACTGTGTAACCGGGCTCCCCCAACGACAAAGCTCAATTTTCACCGAGCTACAAGAAACATATGCACATTCTGCCACGGTCTGATGGAAGCTGGATCAGTTTCCTCGTTAAATCTTGCTCACAGCTCGGTATGCACGCTCTTCAACTTCGCCATCTCATTCCGCTTCGCGCCTTATGTATCTGTCGCATAATATACACACTTCATCGACTCGAAACCACTGTCTTCGCATAGGTCTCTAATTTTATGAAGCCACGATATAACTGAAACATCATGATTTTTTGAAACGTCTGAAATAAAAATTGATTTCTTTACCCTTGGAACAAAGTAACACGGATATTTTGCTTCCAAATGACATCGCATTCAATTCAATTAAAGCATTATTCAATTACTATTTTGACGCATTTATAATTGAATAAATTCATGCCCTCTGTTGCGGATCGTTAACCAGGTTAAATTAATCAACGAGTTATTCTTATTTATGAAAAAAGTTTGGTTAAATGAAAACCAATTTCCAACGTGAATTCGCGATTTTTCCCCGTGAAATTCGAACACCTGGAACACTGTTAAAAAAAAAATAAAAAAAAAGAGTTGACTGCTCGAATGGTAACCTACCATGAATCGCTATTTCACACTACTCCGTGGCTGTATTAATTGGCGACGGTCCAATTAACGGATTATCTACTCGAAACAAGTTGGCAATTTGCGGTGCAATTTTATCCAGCATATCGGTCGTCGAGCTGTCGGATATTTTCACCCCGTATCCTCATTCTCGTCACGTAGCGGACAGCATGACGAACGTTTGCGATTTGTTGCATTACGTTTTATCGTGGATGGTGAATGGCAAAAGTATCGCGAAATGGAAACGTGTAACGCCAGGTAATGGTAGGTTTTCATAAACCACGAGAAAACAATCTGGTCGAGCTTGTTGATTGTTACGCTGAAATAATTATTAAAAGCACCAAGTGTAACAATTATTTTTAAAAAAAATTGAAATTTTTCATAAAAATGTGGGTAATATCTTCTCTCAAATGATTATTTGCAACACAAGTGAGTAGTTTTAGGTACGCTCGTGGAAATTGTTAATTAGCGAAATTCTAATTAACGTATTAACATGACGAGGCAACTTACGAAACGTCGTCAGAGCATTGTACCAATTGCGTACGCATCAGAGCTCTTGTAGCATAGAAATTCTCTCTTCATTCAATTGTAACCTTCAATTGTTACTCGCATTCCGTGACCAGTTTCGTTACCGGCAAATTCCATGGAAAGTTGGCTTCGCCCAGGTAGTCGAATCTTAATTAGGCAAATTAACGAATCAGCGAACCGTAAACGGGGGGAGTCGAGTAACGAATCGACCGGCTTCACGGTCATCCCGTCGTCGTCGTTTGCTTTCCGTTGTTTGGACGCCGGGGTCGTCCGTGTGCTGTGCTCGGCAACAGGACGAACGTCAACGACAATGCTCGTTTTATTAGAAAGTTGGCTGGTCGGAGAAGCGACTGATCATTATGCAGCTCGCGTTGTCATATTCCATTACCGTGGCTGCCGGTTACAGACGCAGCTGCCGCGGTTAGTTCGAAGAACAATTCGCAACACGATATAGGGAAACCGGCATCGCCCTTCAACCGAGCTTGCAGATGACATCGATACTCGACTTCCGCCTCCGAGAGCTGCCGTTTCTAGCCATCCTCCTCTCCTTTCCTCCCTCTCTCTATCTCTCTCTCTCTCTCTCTCTCTTTACATTCAGCAACGTTTGAGTTTGCCACGATTCAGCACATCGAGCAAACTTTACCGGTTTTCCATGACTAGCTAACCGGGATAACGCGAGAAACGCGATGAAACGCTCGTTGATTTTCTGCCACCAGACACTGATCGTTTGTTGCTGAAGTCGTGCAACTTTGAGAACCGATCGTTTTCTTGCTGTCATATTGCATTGATTATTCAGGGGAAGGTGTCTGTTGGGATTATGGGGATTAAAATGATTATCTGATGCAGAGTGTTACATGATAGTGGATCGATCTATAGTTTTAAAATAATGAAGGATAGAAAATAATTTCGTTGAACAAAATTAAGTTTTAATATTTAACACATTGAATGTCACCTATATTTAGATAGCTCTTGAATCGTCAAAATTAGCCATTAGCAATTTTGTTACTTATTTAATTAGAAATATTTTTATTAGGTATTTGAAATGATGGATAATAATAAAATATTCGAGAAATAGTTAATAATATTTTTTAAAAAATAAAAATCTTAATAGTGTTTGATATTAAAGTATTTGGAGATTGAAAATTAATTAAAAAATTATTAGAGTACTTAGGTGAAAATTGATTAGAAAAAGGTATTTACATTATTTAATTTTGTTTTATGAAATTTTTATCAATTTTCTACCATCTGAAAATATTTCCCAATTGCATCGAATATCTTGTGTCTCCATGATAGACAAAGTGGTTATCTTCAACGTGTATTCTTCAATCTCAACAAATCAATATCCGTCAAGATAAAACTCTCACAATATCGCGTCGAATCATAAGAGAAAAAGTTACCCGAAATTCGCGCCAACTTTTTAAAGTCCGTAAACTTGGAACTTCAAGAATCTTGAACTTTCTAAGCTATAAACTTTCTAACTGAATGAACCCCGCGCGTTTCCTAAAATACTACTGTTGAAGATTGTACCAATACCGATACAGAACAACCGATAAACAGATTTTTATTGATTAAGACTTTCTGTGAGTCTTTTTTTTTTTTTTTTTTTATACCGAGACAGGCTAGGACTTGATGATAATTGTTATTCATAGGGAAAGGTTGGAAAAATCCGTAGTTGAATGGAATTTTTATGCATATCGCGGATTGCAAAGGTTGGAAAGTCAAGTTGAAAGAAAATCTGGCAGTTGAGGACAGTGGGATGAGGAAATGCATACAGCTGGATATTTAACCAGGATTACGGAAGCTCGTTTGGTAAAACATTCGTGGAAGTTAAGCGCCTTTCTCAGCCTCTGACGATGGTCTGTTTTGGATAGCGCCGGGGTCGCTGAGATAATTCTTATCAGACTGTCTGACTGTTTTAACGTAGTTAACACGTTCACTGTCGTAGTAGAAATATCAACGCATGGTGCGCCAAGCGATGATATAACTCCTTATAAATATTATACTTGAATCAACAATACTAAATTGTTGATTCATTTTTTATAATTCAATATATATAATATATAATATATAATTCAACATAACAGCAAATAGTAATGTTGGAATTTCTTAACATAATTTCTTTTCAAAATTTCTTTTTCAGAAATGTTACATCAAATTGAACTAATAGAATTATGAACTTTGAAAGGACATCATGTTTCGTTTGAAAATATCAGTAAATTATCTAAATGATATTTTATATCAAATAAGTTCACTCGATAACGTGGATCAGTTAATATTCACATGCTCAATGAAGTAATTTACATTGCTTGTTCGTTGACTAACGAATATTCTGATTTAATATACATTTGCGTATTGCGTTGTTTGGCATTGTGAGCAGTTGGTAAACAAGGTAGCGCAAGTAAATACACGGTACCATAGAGATTAGTTTACGTCCACGGGGAAATCAGAAATTATTCAAATATTAATATTATATCGAGGAAACGTTGATTTATGGAAGTAAGATGAATAGAAATTATGAGAACAATAATTATTGTTGAGAATTATAAGCTGTGACTTTGAAAAATTATCCAATTTTACACTGCTTTTCTGAACTTCCTTGAAAATATCTATTATATAAAATTATGAATCAGCAACTGGGGTATGAACAATCCTCTTGGCGGATCCACAAGTAGCCGTGATAATCGAGCTGACTTTTAGCAGTTGGTAGATTGTTTACACGTCCTTGGTAGCTTTGTCTGCGCTACGTGTTTGGTTAAGTTACACAAAGGATGGGCATTGTGTCGTGTTTCGTACTGTTACACACCCACTGGTGGAGTCAGCTGGCTTGCTACCCTGTCTAAGATTATGTTTGTACTCGTGCTGTCAGCAGAGGGTCATCATTTTCGGTAATACAGAGCCAACTGGAGCATATGTGGGCTGATGTTTGTGGTTTCTGGTCTATGCAAAACAGTCTGTTGATGAAAACACCTTTCAACTCTCTGTTGAAATATAATTGTAAAGTTGTCCAAATTGTCCAACCAGACAGAGAATATTGATACTATGGTTTTGAAACAATGCACTCGTAGAGTATTCAGAGTAGAATAGAATAGGGTTTCCCATTTTTTCCCCATAAGACAAGAATAATGGATTTCGCTGACAGAACGGCTCAACCGTTCTGATCACTCGAACCTATTCATTATCCACCTTAGCGGTATGTAGCACGATGCAGAAACACACCGCAAAGGGATGAAATTAATAACTGTTTGCAGACACCATAAGCTCCTGTTGCAACGGTACGCTTTATTAATTTGCGTCGACTATTACGAGACAGATTTCTATACGGTATCGCGACAATCGCTTCTCTTTTTACCAAGGATTATCGCAGTGCATACATTGTCTAACAGTTTCGATAAATATTCTCGGTATCCCTCTGCTAGATTTTGTGCTCAAACGAGGAAAGATAGTGCTTTAATTTATGAATTATTATTCATAATTCTATATGAAATTATTAATGAACAGTTACTTGAACTTTTGGAAATCTTTTTTGTTGCAGATGTTAACATGGTGGCCGAACCGAAACCACATCAGACTGGACGTAAACGTCAGAATGTTACCAAGACTGGCAACGACTGGTGAGTCAATTATTTTAATTGCTTTTAATATTATTTATCGTTGAATACAATGATGGCTGCAGTGTATAAGTTTTCGAACAAGAAAGATAGTCTTGGAGAGTTTAAATAGAATGCAAGATAAAATAGTATCTTTCTATTTTTTTTTAAATAATTTATTATAATATTCGTATATTAGAAAAATTCTTCGTTGATATAATGTCCTGTTTGATTGTTTGAACGCACAGTGGTCCAGTTTCACTTATCAGATTGTTTGTAGTACTATACTACTTCTCTGATTACTCGTTGAATTTATACTACTTATCTGGCAAGGTGTCTGATTTTTTAGTATACCTATACTACTTGTTAGGGTATCTACCTTACTTATATTACTATTTCGAATACGTATTAGTACCTATACAATTTATTTGAGTGTTTAGTGTTCCTCTGCTGTTCGTCTGACTCCATGTCTGACTTTCTGTTGACCTATACTACTTGCGCGCAGCATAGGGCTCATATACACTACTTGTCAGACTACCTACGGTCTCTATACTACTTACCACATTACATAGAGCTTCTATACTATTTATTTTACCCCTATAGTACTTGTTAACTTATCTACATGTTTATACTACTTATTTTAACACCTATGTTTCTTATACCACTTATCTGCCTATCTATGGTCGTTATTCTACTTATCTCCTTACCTATGATCCCCATATTATTTTTCTAACTACATATGGTTTTCATAGTACTTGTCTAATCACATTTTGCACCTTCCTATGGTACCTTCATTATTTATCTGTCGTTTTAAAATTTCTCTTCTCCTTGCAATCTATATTATTATCTAAAATACGGTGCCATTATCCAGAATTATTAGAATTAAATTAGAAATTAAAATGTTACCCCTCCACATATTTATAAGAACGATCATGGTTAACGATACGGATAACGGTAAAATATGGCCGGATCGATGAGCAAAGTAGAGAACGATGTAAATTGAGGGTGGCGAGAAGCAACCACCGGTAGATCTGCGGAAATTCTGTCGGAAAATTGGTGTAGAGAGCATCGATTGTGTCGGTCGGAGCGATGAAAAATGACGTTCGTTCTGAAGGTGTGTCGGCGAAATCTCTAATGTGGCGCAGGACTTGGCAATCCGCCCGAGCCCAACGGATCAAATCTTAGACGAAGAAAAGTTCGTCGCAGGTCGCGCATAAATCTTCCACGTAGACACGAGAGATCGCGTTTTATTCGAAGGGCTGCCCGCTTGATCCTGTCTAGGTTGTTGGCTCGTACAAGGATCGGGGCCTTAAAACGACGCCAAACAAATGCTAAACTCCATCTAACTGGCTACGCTCTGTCGAGCTTTCTCGCCGTGTAGACGTGCTGAAAACGTGTTTTACGCGACGTACGTGACCGTGAAATTTCCAACGTACCGTTCTTCGCCCGAGGCAACACCTTCGCTGAAGATGAAACAGGGATAATCGCTAGTTAAGCCATCTTGCATGCGATTATTTTGAGTTTGCATCGATTAAACTTTTGTTATATAATTAAAAATAAATGATTCCTGAAATTGCGGGGCTGGAGGTGTATATTCGTGAAAAAAATCAGAAATAGAAAATTTCTATGAAGTAGAGATTAGAAATTTTTATTTTTGAAAATTAGAGTACTTCGCAAAATTCTAAATTTGTTTAAAATTAAAAAGAAGAAATTTCAATGAAATAGAGTTCGTGAAAATTTTTATCATATTATGAAGCAATTATTTTAACAACGCTGAGTTACTTTCTTTTCGAGAAGGAGACTAGAAATTCTAGGTTTTATATTTCTTGTTTACGACGCGTTAAGGGCGTTGATCAATAGAATGTTTTATCACAGAGGTAGATTTATGGCTAACGGGGCGAACTAATTTGGAATGAAACACAGCGTGTAATATTATGTAGCTGGAAAAATTTACTCACAGATGCCAGCTTTTCAAAAGTAATCTCATTGATTTCATTCTTGAAAAACGCGTCTTGTCAATGGAATTCGTTAATTAAAAGCTCTTACCTGTTATGTCTAAACCAATGTTTTCCCCAGTTGCAACCGAAAAAGCTGGGCTTATCCGACCAAACAAAATATCGACTTTTTCTATGCATTTTTTTTACTGCGATGTAAAAGCTTCGATCAATTCGAGCATCAATTTCACTGCAAACAGCATCCTTTAAAATTCTTCATCATTTTTTCACAACATGGTAAACCTTTTCGATAAAAATCTCTGCCCTTTTTGACGATACCTATCGGGTTGAAAATTTTTGGAAATAGAATTGAATTTTTTTAAGATTAAAACATGCAAAAGATAACTTCACTTTGCCGTTTGCAAATCTGTAAATGAAATTGTTGATTGCGAGGATTGATCAATAACTCGAAAGTTTTATTTTTTAATTCAAAATTTTCACTGGTTATCTTTCATTCTAAAATCATCTTCTACGTGTATTTCCTCTCGAAAACTTGCAACATGCGGTTGGTTAAATGTTAAACGCATTGTTCTGAGAGAAGACAGAATTCCACGGGTTTCTGTACGGAAAGCAGAAGAGACGGTGTCGTATCGCGTCATCTGGTTTCACGATCTGCCGCTGGAAGAAAACATGGCGAAACAACTCAGCCAACTGTTAAAGTCCGTTGGCAAACTGGTCGGAAGCAACGATTGTTTGAATGTATACAGGTGTTTCAGTGGTTGCGAGAGACTCGACCCTGTATCTCTGTCCTCTGTGCGTTTGTCGCGATGGCCGGTGCTAATATAAAGCGGCAGTAAAGCGCGATTGTTAAAATTTAACGATCCACCGTTTTTCGCTGAAATATTTGTCAGGCGGGAAAATGAATTTTCCAGCGGGTCCTGGTGGCATTTAAAATTTCCTGTCGGTGAAACCCTCGCGCGACAGAATGCGTGCATTTTCGGTCGATGGTGAATTCCCATTGTTATTTTAGTTATTTTTTGTTTTTTTTCTTCCCTTATTTTTTCTCCGGAAAATTGGAGGGACTCTGATCGTGTTTCGGCGATGGGAAGGTTTGAAAAATTTTATAAAGAAACGGTTGGAAAATGAAAAAAGAAAAAACCTTCTGTAGCTCACAACAGTTGGATACATTTTCGTTTTTCTGTGCTTCTGGTATAGGTGGAATTTGTTTATTGGAAAATAATTTAAAAATAATATTTCTCTGCTAATTTTTAAAATATTTATGCTAATAAGTTATTCTATTAATTTTGCAGTGGCTCTACTCTATTTCTACTTCTTTTATTATTTTTTTTTTTTATTTGTACCTATGTTTATATATTAACTTTTAAAATTTACAATGCTTTTTTTATTTTACGTAATACTGAAATAAATTCATTAAATGAATACATGAAATGTCAGTGCGAAAGAAACATGTTATTCAATTTTTTTTTTAATTTTCATGAGATTTTTGGTTTTTGAATAATCGTCGTAGGCCGGGATATTGCAAACATCATAAGGTATCTTTATGCATCAACAATTTCGATATGAAACGGAGAGATATGTAATATACCGGTAATAGGGTTTCAGAGAATTCCAGTTATAAAACGTGATATTCGAGCGTGCGTATTCGTGTAATATTAAAATCTGGTATATGGAAAAATACGTTAAAAACGAGGAAGGGATTGGTTGCTGCATGAGCCAGAAAATTATTGACTTTTTTGGAAAATTTTCAATTACCAAACCGTACCAATTCTCCGCGATTATATGTAAATGATGAATATAATAGTCGGTTTGAATAGGCAACCCAATGAATTGCGACATTAATTAATTCTCTCATAATTTATGCAGTTTTGATGCACGTATGCTTGTGATTCCTGGTACTATTCATCAAAATTCATGTTCAAAGATTAATTATTATATAATACATCAAAATTAAAAAAAGGAAAATATTGTATGGTTGAAAGCGAACCAGTTGCGAATAGAAATTATAATCAAAAAAAATATTGTTAATAGTGATTTGTTCTAAAAAGCGTATAAAACGCTTTCGCGAAATTCTAGTTGAATCGCAACCGGTTTGAAATTGACGTTGAATTATTTAAAAAAATTCGTGTTCTACGCTGTTAAACTTCAACAAATTCCTAGTGGAAAATTTTTTGAACCAATTCAGAACTATTTGTTTTTGTATCGTCACAAAAAATAGAAATATGTACAAAAATCATGTGCTCTTTCAAATTTTTATCACTGTTACTGCAAATTCAGGAAAATTTTATTAAAATATTTATTTTTCTTTTGCTAATTATTATTTTTTCTCTTTACATTTCTTTCACGTGTATTTCGTAAGATCGTTATCCGTTTCTGTTTTTATAAAAGTTAATATTCATGGTTTTACACGTGAAAGGGAATGTTCCTGTTGTATTATGCAAGGGTAACCGAATGAAAATGATTTTCGTGAACCGGCCAAGAATTTTAAACGAACAGAGCGTACTGTTAATGCGAGAATAAGTAATTAGGCACGTACAAACTTAACTAGACTTTTAACAAGTTCGTTTTAATCTTATTCCTCGGTAGCGAGTTTTCCCGAGGATATCTTTTTTATTTCTTTCTCTGGCAATTGGCGACCATCTGAAACGGGAAAATAATGAAAAGGTTAAAGGTATAGGATGAAAATAAATAATTTTTCTCAAAGTTTTTTTAAATGAAGAAATTAATATAATTTTCAAAAGTTTTTAACTGATAGGTTTGAAGAAACCTCTCATTATTCTTTTTGAAATTGAAAATAAAATAAATGAAGGAATCTGTACAAAAGCATCAGAAATAATAAGAGCATCCTAGGACGAAATGAAGCGAAGGATTGACCCATTTCGAACTTCATTACAACCCTTAAGAAGGAGGATCCTTTCAGAGACGTTTATCGACAATCCATCAATCTCAGATATAAGTAATGCTAACGCTGCAAATTTTACTATCATGATCGTTCTCGAATTATCCTCGAGCGAACCACATTATCTCCTCGAAATCAATGAACGAAAATAGGGGTGTCGAAGGGAAAGAAGA